AGATGTTGTCTCATTGTAGTTTTGATTTTCATTTTCTGATTATAAGTGTTGGTGAAGATTTCTTTGTATGCCTGTTAGCCCTTTGCATTTCCTTTTTGGAGAAGTGTATTTTCAGTTTTTCTGCCCATTTTTTGACTGGTTTTTAACTTTTTTTTGGTTGAATCTCATCAGCTCTTTGTAGCTTTTTGTGCTCAGTCCCTTATTGGTATTGCATGCAAAAATTTTTTCCCAGTCAGTGGGGTTGCCTTTTTGTTTTGGCTAATGTCTCTTTTGTTGTACAGAATCTCTTTAATTTGATGTAGTCCTATTTATCCTTTACTTCACTATCTTTGCTTTGGGTAATGTGTCTTTAAAAATATTACTGAGGTGTATGTCAGGTAGTGTTTTGCCTGTGTATTTTATGTTTTCAGGTCTTAATATCTAGTTTTAATTGTTTTGAATTAGTTTTTCTATATGGTGTGAGATAGTAGTCTAGCTTCATTTAGCAGCCCAGTTTTGACAGCACCATTTATTGAACAAACTTTCTTTGTTCCATTGCATATTGCTCCTGTGTCAAAGATTAACTGTCCATTAATCTGTGGGTTTATATCTGATTTTTCTATTGGATTCTATTGGTCTATATGTCTGTTCTTGCTTCAGTTCCATACAGTTTTGATTATTATGGCTTTGTAGTATAGTTTGTAGCCCCCTTTTAGTTAGGGAAGCTTTGGCTATTTGGGTTTTTGTGGCACCATATGAATTTCTTCAATATTTGTTCTTTTTTTTTTTTTTTTTTTTAAGAATGTCACTGAAATTTTTATTGGAATAGCATCATTGAAAATGTAAATTGTCCTTGCTAGGATGACCATCTTGATAATATTAATTCTTCCAAACGATGTCTTATTTCTTTTTACAATATTTTATAATTTTTTACTGCTTTTACTAGGTTTATTCCCACATATTTAATTTTTTGTTTCAGTTATAGAACGGATGGTTTTCTTGATTTCTTCTTCAGATTGATTGTATCTAGGAATGCTACTGAATTTTGTGTGTCGATTTTTATATCGTGTTACTTTACTTAACTGGTTGATTATTTTGTTCAGTATTCAAACATTCAAATTTAACTCATTCTTTAGTTTTGGTAAATTCTCTGTTGTAATTTCTTTGCATATCATTGTTGTTCCCGTTTTTTTTTTCTCTTTACCTTTTAGGATCCCTGTTACTGTTAGGTTTCCTCTTCTTATTGAATCTTCTGTATCTTGTATTATTTCCTCATTTTTACTGTTTGATTCCCTTCTTCTAAATTGATTTGTTCATTTGAGTCTCTGCTGTTGAAAGTCTTTCTTCTGCCAGTTTAATTCTGCTTAAAGTACTTTGTAAATTTTTGCATTTCATTCTATCTCTTTTTATGATATTTTAAAATGTTCAGTGACGAGCTCCCTGTTCTTGGATCTGCTTTTTAAGATCTTGGACCTGCTTTTTAAGATCTTGGACCTGCTGTCTGCTTTAACATTCCACAGATTTTTAGCATTTTAAATATTGTTTTGAAGTCTTTGTGTGATCATTTCTCTACTTCTGTATCTTTTATATTTGTCCCAAGACTTCTGTCCTTCTCATTTTGCTTTTCCATCTTGTGTTCAGAAGTTCCTTATTTTTTAGGCAGGAGTTTTTCCTTGTTTGCTATTTTTGAGTGTGTATATTTGGTTGGAGTACTGGGGTTCAGTATTTTTTTTCTTCTTAATTTACCTTGTCATGAGATAGGGACAGGAAGGGAGTCTTGGTTTATGACTGGATCTCACTTTGAGTTGTAAATTGGTAGCACATTGTTTATTGTCTCAACGTTATACAAAGTTTTCCTGTTGTTCCTTCTTCCTGGAAGTTGTGCTCTATGAAGCTTGAGTCTTCTGGTAGGAGGAGATAAGTGTGGACTGCCTGACTCAATGATTAATTAGTTGGCTGGGAGAAGGCCCTGCAGAGACTTCTGGACCTATGCTGTCTTAGTCACTGTGGATGCCCACAATGCCTTCTCATCCTACCCCCTGCTGTTTCTGTGGGACTGCAAATTTGTGCGCAGTTCGTTTACTTTCATAAGGACTTGGTAAGTTATCTTACAAGTCCTCTCTGCTATTGGATTTTTTATAGAGCCTGGCTTGGCTTAGGCTGATTTCACTTTGATCTCTTACTAGAGGGAGATTGGGTGCCTATGCAGATTTCTGAGTTTTCAACTTCCTTGATCTGTACCTACCCTGGGTAGGGTCTCTGCCCACTTGCTTGTCAGAATATTTCTCCAGGGAATTTCAGAGTGTCCTTGGTTGCCTCTACCTTTCCCTAAGTGGCTGACCCCAGCTCATTCTGCTGACTGGGGATCTTTGCTTGACCCAGCCACGTTCCCCGTTGCCTTCCTTCTGCTCCTTCCCCTCAGAGGCCACCAACCTTATTTTGAGATCTCCATGGGGAAAATCTTGGGATTCTGTAGATGGGGCAGTGCTTTTCCATATTTCTATGAGCAAATCTTATTTTTTAAAGCCGTTTTTAAGAGAGTGGGTGATCCTAACATCTCTATTCCTCTATGCTATGGGTGAGACTCTATAACCATAATTTTAATGGTGGTCATCATGGTAATCATGATGTTCTTTCTGTAGGAAAAAGTTTCCAGTATTTATAATTTATATTTAATTTTCATTTTTTATGCTATGCCCCTGTATAACGTAAGTTTGTTGGAGACCAGCTCCAACAATTGGGGTGACAGAGGTTCCTGTAGGAAATGACAGTTGGTAAAGGTGAATGAGGGACACGAACAAGTGTCATCGCAGGTCTTTATTATTTTTTATGTTAGCAAGCAGTGGGATTACATCAGCATTCGCATTGAGTGAAAAAACAACTATTACATTTTCCCAAGAACAGTTTGAAGTCTTTTGATCTTTAGCCAAGATTATAACACTTACAATTTTTAAATAACAGTTTATTTTTTACATCTTTTTTTTGCATTTTAAAAAATTTTATAACAGTTTATTTTTACATAATTTTGTACATTTTTTTCCATCTCAATTGTAATCCCTGTGGGTTTCCCATCACCAAGTTACCCATGTGCCATCACCATAATCCTGTGCACTTTCCTCTCCACCCCCCCGTTTTTGATCCCATTCCCCACTCCACCCCCACAGAATGTCTCTGGTATATGGTTGTTCATTATTCTTGTTATTTTCTCGCCTGGTCCATTATACTCCTACTATGAGTGAAACCATCCAGTATTTTTCTTTCTCTTTCTGGCTTATCTCACTAAGCATGATCTTTTCCAGCTCCATCCAAGTTGCTGCAAAAACATGTGTTTCTCTTTTTTGGTTGCTGAGTAATATTCCATTGTATATATGTACCACATCTTTTTAATCCAGTCCTCTACTTTTGGGCATTTGGGCTGCTTCCATGTTTTTCCAATTGTAAATAAAGCAGCAATAAACATGGGGATGCAGGTATCTTTTTCAATCATCACTTACAATTTTTTAAGGAAAACACAGCTAACAAGTAAAATGTTATTATGATTATTATTTTTTTTTGCAGCTGGGCAAACAATTTAATGATAAAGCAGGCAAATTAATTTGGATAGTTACAACTAACATTTTTATTCATATTATAATAATAAAAAGTTAGCAAAACAAAAGGAAAGCTGTTTTTTTTTTTTTATCTCTAGTTACCAAGGATCTTCATTTTTATTAAAGCATTCTTTAAAAAAAATTAAAACAAGGCCAGGGTAAGGAATGAAAAAGTTTATTTTCCTCTAGAGCTTAATTCAGTGTGTATATCTGGAAGATGTGGAATGAGGGAGTTTGAATTATTGATTTGGACAGGAATATATTATTACAACATGTTACTAGCACTGCCTTACTTTGCTATATTAACTTTACAGTAATCGCCTATTTATTAAAAAAGCCAAATGTAAAATTAATTTTTACATTATTAAATGCCTCCAAATGCAAAATGGTTGCATGTCAGGAGTGGCCAAAACAAAACAAAGAGATCCAGTAAGAGCCAGCTTCAGGGTTCCTGACTTTTCAGTGGCACCCCCTCATACCTGGACTTTGTTGGACGGTATGAGATGTTTGGCCTGTGCTATAAGTTGTTGACAAACAAAAGCACAGCCAAAGGTGTCTGTACTACTAATTACCATTGGACACTATTGTGCATGATATCTATTCCTAGTTTAGTGCTAATGTCTTGGTATGGAAAGATCAAAGGTCTTTTTCTCTGCTTCTAAAGAATGTACTTTCCTAACCCTTTACTTTGAAATTTTCAAAAATACCAAAAAGTTGAAAGATCACTGCAGTGATTACTAATTTACCCTCCATCTAGGTTCAATTTGTAGTTTGCCATATTTACTTCATTTACATATGTTTGTCTCTTTTTATATGTCTATATATATGTACACACACACATATATAAAATGTGCCAAGCCTTTTCACTGTAAGTAACATATAGTCATTATGTTAAATCATTTCAAATATTTTAGAATGCATCAAGTAAAAATTAGGACACTCCTATATATATCTATATATCTCTATCTCTTTCTATCTATCTATCTTATCTATATGACTGTATATAACTACAATGTTGTTGTTATACCTAAGGACATTATAATTCTTTACTATCTGAATCCATTTTAAGATTCCCCCTAGTATCCTAAATATGTGTTAGAGGTGTTCTTTAAAAATCAGAAGCCATTCAAGTTCATGGGTTTTATTCAGTTGTTACAGCTTTTAAGTGTTTTTTTTTTTTTTAAATTTGGGAAAGCTCGCATTCCCCCCCACCCCCCCTTAAATAAACCTTCGAAGAATGTTGTGCCTTGATTGGGGTTTAGGGTTTTGTCACTTTTCTTTATCTTACTAAAGAAATCCTTCCTAAATCTAAAAATTTTTGATATATATTACTTTAAGCTAAATATTCTTTTGTGTAGTAGTTTGTAAAATTCTCAAGTTCTTAAGGCTAATCTTGTTTTTTGAATTTAATAGTTTCTAATTTCACCCTAGGAGAAGGTATCTTGCCATGTTGGGAGACAACAGTGGAACAGATTCATGAAGAGAATGATGTGAACTTAACAAAACCTGATGGTTCTTCAGAAGTGGTTAATATTGAAGAAAGGTATTATTCATGTTGAAAGGAATAAGAAATGTGACAATTAAGTAGCTAATCATAACTGAGCACTTTCTTTGTTTGCAAGAGCCATAGTTTTCTTGTTTTTGCTTGAATAAGCTATCACATACTGTCAGCAGCAGAGAGCTCATCTGTTTAATATCAGTTAAACTACCTTTGACTTTGTATTAGAAGAATTTAACAATAAATTTTCGAATGAGAAATTTGGTTAAAATCAATTAAATCTTCCCTCTAGTAATAAAGGAGAAGAGAAAAATAAAAACTTGAGTTTCCTATTTTTGTGTCCTTTATATTGTAAATGATACTTGTGTAAGTTTGGTTATAAAATTTAAAAATTTTATAAAATTTATAAAATTATAAAAGTTTAAAAAAACATGAAATATACTGACGGGTTATTATTTTCTTAAATATTAAAAATATTTTAATGTATATTGTGGATGGGCAAATGACTTTTTGATCTATTCAAATTTTGAGGATATTTTAATTTAAAAAATGTATTTGAAGAATTATATATTAAATATATTTCAAGCTATTATGATGGACTCTGTTATTCCCAGATGCACTTTAAGAAAAAAATCATGTGTAGTATGTTGTTTTTTCTGTATTTTGGGAAATCAGGATTATATTATTATTTAGTATCTCAAAGGGGAGTCTGTGATTTTGGAAGTTAGTTCTTGGTGTAGTTGGGACTGTCTATCATGCATATTGTTTAAAATATTCACTCTATCATGATTTGCATGTTAAATAAGTTTCAATTTATTCTTATGACTAGGCCTATTAAAGCTGCTATTAAAGAAAGGAAACAGACTTTTGAAGAATTCTTAGAAGAACAAATTCGGCTAGAAGAACAAGAATTACAACAAAAACAGATAAGGGTTAGTATTTCCATTAAAATAGGTAAGCCTTGGCCCTCCCTGATGGTGCAGGGGGTTAAAGCACAGCACTAAGAAGCTAAAGCCACTTCTGCATGAGTTCATCCCTGCCTGCCCCAGAGGTGACCACATGGCGGGGGCAGACCTCTCCTGACCTGCCCGCTGCTCCCCTCAGCAGTGTACTTCGTCGATCTGCCTGTTCTGCTCCCCACTCTGTCTCTGGTGAATCCTCTCACCCTCCACATCTCTGGCCTGTACCCCAGTTCTGTATGAATAAATAAATAAATCTTTTTTTTTTTTTTTAAAATAGCTAAGCCTTTAGATAAAGATCTGTTTATGACTTATTTAAAAAAAAATAACTGTTACTACTGTTAATTTAAATATTGTTCTTTTATTTTAGGAAGCAGAAGGATCATTGCTAATCAAAGCAAAACCCAAACAACCATTCTTGAAACGAGGAGAAGGTTTAGCTAGATTTACTAATGCTAAATCTAAATTTCAAAAAGGGAGAGAAGGTACACTAGCAAAAAACCTGAACATTTCAGAGGATCAGCCTATGCTTAAAACAGATAGGCAGCAATTCCAGCGGAAAACTGCTCTTATAAATAAAGAGAACCCTCCCACTAAAAAGAACAATAACATTAGAACTAAGAGTGGCTCTGTCCCACTCAATCAGAAGCCAAAAGTACTTAAGAGTAACATTAGGAAAAACCTCTCTTCATCAGGATTAAATATATCGATGATAAAGAAATGTGATGGGAAGTTCAGAGACCAGAACAAGTTAGGGGAAAAAACCGAATCCAATAATAAAGAAAACGTAGCTGAGTATATAAAACTTTGTGATGTTGGTTGCAAAGTCTGGAATAAAACAAACACTAAGGACAAACTTCCTTATTCAGCAGGACTGGTCAACTGCATGGCTTCTAATAGCCAGATAAGTGAGAATGTGAAAGAGTCAGAATCGTCTATTAACATTTCTCTCCATAATAAGTTAGAGAATTGGGAACGAGAAAAAGAAAAAGAGAATTTGGAATTAGATGAATTTTTGTTTCTAGAACAAGCTGCTGATGAAATTTCATTTTCCAGTAATTCCTCTTTTGTACTGAAGATTTTAGAGAGGGACCAACAAATTTGCAAAGGGCACCGGCTTTCTTCTACCCCTGTCAAAACTGTGCAGCAGGAGAACACAATACCAGTGGATCCCACTAATCAGTGTAATCAAAATGAGCATCCGGACCACACTGAATGTGAAAATAAGAGTGAGTGTGAGATCACACGTAAACAACTTGATTTGTTATCCTCACCTGATGGATTGAGGGAACAGTCTTTTAAACTCAGTAGGAAAGCGTTCCAAATGGCTACTTCTGAGAATCAAACTAGATGGAATGTAAATGAGGATGAAGGTAATATGAACAGTGACAGTAGCACTAACTCTGAGGAACAACTTGATGTTACCATAAAACCATCAACTGAGGATAAAGAAAGAGCTTTCAGTAGCAGAGCAGATGGTCCAGAAGTCTGTGATGGTAAGGGACCTTTTAGGGACATTGGGATTCAAGAAGATAAAAGAGATACTGATTTAGATTTTTCTGATAAAGATTATAGTAGTGATGAATCTCTCATATCAGAAGGCTTGAAAAATAAAATTTCTGAGTCCTCATTTCAAAGTATAAGTAAAATTGACTTTGATGATGAAAGAACTTGGACTGACCTTGAAGAAAATTCACTTAAGTATGATAATTTTGGGGATGAAACCAGTTATGGAACTTCACAGACAATCTTCCCTAAGAAGGGTGAAATGGACATACTAGACAAAACAATAAAAAGGAAGGTTGCATCAGTCAAGAAGGGAGAAGACTTGAGCAAATCCAGTAGGAGCACAAGCCCTCCTACATCAGATCTGATGATGAAATTCTTCCCTTCTTTGAAACCTAAAGCAAAATCAGAATCACACCTGGGAAATGAACCTAAGTTAAACATAAGTCAAGAGCAACTCCCTGGTAAGTCAGAGAATTATATGTATCAGAATGTTATAAATGTAGCATATTTTTATCAGTATGTTGTCAGCATACTTAAAATCCTGCCTTTTGAAGTTGCTCAGTGGAAGTCAAATTGGTAAGTGATTTGTTAAAATTTGATTTGAATTGTGGGCTTGCATAATTTAATTGTCACTAGTATAAGAAAGAGATTTGAATGAATTGTACTTTTAGATTTTCAAATTAAAATGTCATAACCAAAGCTTTAATATTAAGCACTGTACTATAAAGTAATATAGTGTTTAAATTTCTTTTACAACCAGCGGGTACCAGATTTATGGTTTATATTATTGTGGGGTAAATATTTGTGTACTAATACTTCAGTGTACATGTTTTCTTTTTTATTGCTACATGCATTAATTTGCTAGCTATGACCAAAAAGAAATATGGTAAAATACAAGTTTTCTACCTTTCCCACTCCTGGATTTCTAGTATCTTTTTCTGGAGGCACCAGAATTCCCATTTTGTTTGTCTGTTCTAAAAAGGTCCCACACATGTGAAAGCATAGTTTTTGAGTCTGTGGTATAATTTGCTTTCTACACAATAAAACATTCCTTTTCTGTATTGTTATATATCTTGCTTGGAAGATTGTTATGACATACACACCTGCCTCATTGCCTTTAGTAGCTATATAGTAGTCAGTCGATGGATACCTTAAACTTACATTAAAACTCTTTCCTATTATAGCATGTTACACTGATTGCTTAGCAAATCTTAAGTGCTTTAAATTATGGCTTAAACTATTTTCAAAAATTCTCATTTTAAAAGTAGCACTTTTTTGCAAAGAATTTAGAAGATTAAAATATATAAAGCAAAAATGTTAATGAGCAACCTACCCAAAGGCAACTAATATAATTTTGGGATATTCTAGGAATTTCTCCTATGTATTTCTAATATAGTAGAGAGATATATTAAAACTTGTTCCATTCTTTTGACCGTGTGTGTAATATGTATTGGGCGTATCATTAAAATTCTTTGTGTATTTTATAAAAGGTTACATGAATTATATAAATGTAGCATGAGTTTTCCAGTAATTTTCTGAATGTTGAATACTTGTTTTTCATTATTAGAAATAGCACTGAAATGTTATTTTCTGCAAAAAATTGTATAATTTAAATGCCAGTCTTTAGAAGTGGAATAACTGGGTGAAAGGGTAGATATATATGTTTCAGTCTTGTGCTATGACAAAGATTTATTTTCTAAAAGGATTGTTGCTAAAAGGGCAGAGAATTACCTTTTCACAGCAAATTTCAAATGGAAAAATGTTAATTTTTTCTCTTTGGTTTGTAGTTGGGGTTTTATTTGATTTTGAAATAGTTTATATTTCTTTGATTCTATAGTTGATAAATCATTTGGATCTCTTGTGGATTACTTATTAGTAACTTACTAGTAAGTTGTTTATAAATGAACTTTTTTTTTTTTAAAGATTTATTTATTTATTCATACAGAACTGGGGTACAGGCCAGAGATGCGGAGGGTGAGAGTATTCACCAGAGACAGAGTGGGGAGCAGAACAGGCAGATCTACGAAGTACACTGCTGAGGGGAGCAGCGGGCGGGTCAGGAGAGGTCTGCCACGCCATGTGGATCTCCTCCTGGGCAGGGATCGAATTTGGGCTGACGTGGCTTCAGCTTCTCAGTGCTGGGCTCTAACCGCTGCGCCCGCAGGGAGGGTCCTCAAATGAACTTTTTAAAAAATTGACTTGAATGATTCTTTTATATATAGTGCTAACTTGTGAGATTGATAGTTTTTTGAAAAAAAAAAAGCAAAAAACAAACTAGTATCATTCTTAAATTTGAACTCTTTCTCAGGAAGTTTTATAAAATTCATTTTTATCGTATTTTAATAGCACAGGCATTTATTTACTGTATTCTTGGCTCTTGGTGTTAGTTTTGAAGGCCTTTTTTTCAAGTTAAGTACTTATGGCTCATCTTATAGGTGACAATGCTCGATCTCAAGTTTTGAGAGACAAAGTTACTGAATTGGAAACAGAAATAGAAAAATTTAAAGCTGAGAATACATCTCTAGCTAAACTTCGCATTGAAAGAGAAAATTCCTTGGAAAAACTCAGGTAAGTTTGCATTAGGAGGTTGGGAAAAAGTATACAGTGATTCAATTGAATCTTTAAGATTATTTTAAAACTATTTGAAACATTTATTTTTATCAATCCAGAGGGAGAAATAAATGAAAAGGATGTGAAATCTCTACCATATAAGGATTTTTAAATTTAATAAAATCACCTGTTGTGGTCAAAGCTGTTAAAAGAGATTATAAATTGAAATTTGAAAATCTGTTTGGGGCTATGATTTGTTTTTTAAAGAGTTATTTATGCCTAGAAATCTGGGGTACAAGCCAGAGGTACAGAGGTAGTGAGAGGCCTCACCAGAGACAGTGGGGAGCAGGACAGGCAGATCTACGAAGTACAATGCTGAGGGCAGCTGGGGACAGGTCAGGAGAGGTCTACCCTCCCATGTGGATCACCTCTGGGGCTGGGGATTGAACTGAAACAGCTATGGCTCGCTTGCAGTGTTGCATCCTAACCCATTGTGCCAGGGAGGGCCCCTGGAGCTATGATTTTAAGTGCAGTCTTGGCCAGTGTATTAATTTCCTAGAATTGCTATAACAAATTATACGCAAACTGGGTGGCTCTACATAATTTCCAAAGGGTTGCTTCTGAAGTCAGGGTGTCAATAGGGTCTTTCTCTCTTAGCTTTGGTGGTTGCTGGCAGTCCTTGGCATATCTTAGTATGCAGCTGGACATTTGGGTTTATTCTTTTTTATCGTGTATAATGCTGCTTTAACATTGTTGCTCAAGTCTATGCTTTTAATTCTTTTGATATATACCCAGGCATGGAATTGCTGGATTGCATGGTAATTTTATATTTAATTTTTCTAACAACTGCTGTATTGTTTTCCACAGTAGTTACCAGATTATTTGTTTTGAACCAGTCTTACATCCCAGGGATGGATCCGTTTGTTCATAATGTATGATCCTTTTAATTTGCTGTCAAGTTTTGTTAGCCAATCATTTGTTGAGGATTTTTACATCTATGTTCATCAGGGATATTACCTTGTTGTTTTCTTAGATGTCTCTGGCTTTTGTATCTGAGTGATACATACTTTCAGAAATGAATTTGGAATTTTTTTTTTTTAGCACAGCATCCAGAGTGAACTGGTGTGATAGTTCCACTGACATTCTAAACTTACACCTGAAGTCTGTAATACATTAGTTTGTTTTGTTGTTTTGACTTTTATTTTATAAATGTCACTTGCTGTTGTGTTTCTTGCTCATTCTGTTTTAGTGCATTGGCCAGTATTCTTGAATACATTAGGCATATTCCTCCCTCAGGGCATTTGTATTTGGTTTTACTCTGCAGGATTATTTTGTTCCTAAATCCTCATGGTTTTTTTAACTTGCTTTAGGTTGTATTTCAGTGTTACCTCTGCAAGATGCAAACTTTAGTTTCCTACACTAATGTTTCATAACCCATTTATTGCTTTATTTTCTCGATAACATAATGTTCGATGTATTTTAATTTTCTTGTTCATTATTGTCTGTCTTTCACATTAGAACTTAATAAGCTTATTAATAGGAGTTAAGAATTTTTTCACCATTGTTTCTCCAGTACCTAGTTCTTGACTTTATAGTATGTATCTGATGAATGCTTCTTGGATGTAGTTAATTGGTCAATTTATATGATGGTATTTCCATCAATTTATATGATGGAAATACCATCATATAAATTGAATACTATCATATAAATTGAATGGATTCATTGATAATAGCAAGTCCTCAATTTTAGGTTGTCACTGATGTACTACCATATATAGATTTCTAAATTATTGCTACAAGGTTATTGAGATGGTTTCCTTAAATGATAACATGATTTGGTTATTTTAGGAAAGAAATTGCAGACTTTGAACAACAGAAAGCAAAAGAATTGTCTCGAATAGAAGAGTTTAAAAAGGAGGAAATGAGGAAGCTTCAAAAGGAACGTAGAGTCTTTGAAAAGTATAGTTCTGTTGTAAGAGCTTTTCCAGATAAAAAGGAACGTGAAGAAATACAGGTATGTTATTTTTTTTTACATTATACTGATGTTAATAAAGAAGATAGTAAGAGTTTGACATTGTAAAGAGAAATTGGGTATGTCTGTAGTTGCTCATTGATTCAACAAATAATATTCTGAGTCCCTGTCTCAGGAACATTCGTAACCTGATTTTTTTTTTTTTAAATTGAGGTAACTTTTTAGCGAATGATTTAAGGAAATAGGTTCACACCATTTCTGGTCTTTTTGATGTGGAAGTGAGGTGTTATCTCATTGTGTTTTTGATATACATTTTCCTGATGAGAAGTTTATTTGCCTGTTGGCAGTCTGTCCTCTGGAGAAGTGACTGTTTAGCTCTTTTGCCCATTTTTTGATTGGGTTGCTTGCTTTCTTGTTGTTGAGTTGTAGAAGTTCTTTGTAGATTTTAGCAATTAGTTTTTTTGTTGCATGTATAATGTGCATTTATTTTCTCACACTTTCATTAAGTTGTCTTTTCATTTTGATCATAGCTTCTTTTGTTGTATAGCGTTTTAGTTGGATGAATTGTATTTGTTTATTTTTACTTTTGTTTCCCTTGCCAAAGTGGGGAGCCATGTGTTCCCATTGACATCCCAAAGACATGTCTGAAGCCAGTATCATGGAGTTATTTTGCCTACTTTTTACTTTGTGTATTTTTTGGTTTCTGATCGTTCATTCAAATCTTTAACCTATTTTGAGTTAATTTTTGTGAAGAGTATGAAAACGTAGTCCTTTTTCTTCTCCTTCTCCTTCCTTTCTCCCTCCCCACTACTCCCCCTCCCCATCTCCCTCCTTTTTAAACATTTGACTCTACAGATTGCTCAACACCATTTGTTGAAGAGCCTTTCCTTTCTCCATTGTATACTCTTGGTCCTTTGTAGTAGGGTAATTGTCTATATAAATATGAGTTTATCAGGGCTCTCAAGTCTATTACAGTATCCTGTTGTGTTTGTTTTTATTCCTACACATACTGTTTTGATTACCATTAGCCTAGTAGTATAGTTTGAAGTCAGGGAATATGATAATCCTATTCCCCTTCTGTTCTTGTCACTGTTTCTTTGTCTATTCATAGTCCGGTGATTCCATATAAATTTCAGTAATGTTTGCTCTCTTTGAAGAAGTCTATTGAAACTTTGATAGGGATTGCATTCAATCTATATATAGCTTTAGGTAAGGTTGCCATTTTAACATTTAATTCCTGTTCATGTGCAAGAAATCTTGTCATTTTCTTGTGTCTTCTATTTAAGACTTAATTTTTTCATTGAATAGATCTTTCACCTCCTTTGCTAACTTTATTTTAGGCATTCAGTACTTTTTGATGCTTTGTTAATGGAATTATTTCTTGCTCTTCTAGCTAATTGTATACAGGAATGCAGTAGACTTTTGTCTTTTGATTTTGTACCCCGCCACTTTACTGACTTATTGTTTCTAATAGTTTTTTTAGTAGTGTCTTTAGAATTTTCTTTATCTGCAAACAGTGACAGTTTCATTTTTCTCCCAATTTGGATTCCTTTAATTGCTTTCTCTTGCCTAATTGCTCTACCTAGAACTTCCAGTACTATGGTCAGTGTGGACATCCTTGTCTGCACTTGCTCTTACATAAATCCTTTTAGTTTTTTTTTTTTTTAAATCAGTTTTAGGTGGAGCTTAGTTTAGATGGTTTTTATTCCTTTTGAGGTATATTCCTTCCATTCCTATTTTACTAAGAATTTTCATCATATATGAGTGCAGAATCTTGTTAACTTTCTTCTCTGCACCCATTGCTACGATCATAGGGCTTTCCTTTTGTCGGCATGGTGTGAGAATAGTTCCTTTTTTTTTTTTTTTGTTATCCCTGTAATATATCCCACTTGGTAATGATATATGATCCTTTTAATGCATTGTTGAATTCCATTTGCTAAGGTTTTGAGGCTTTTTGCAACATCAGGGATACTGCTCTGTATTTGTGTGAGTGTGTGTGAATGTGTGTGTGCTGTCCTTGTTTGCTTTTGGCATTAAATAATTGGCTTCACAAAGTGTGTTTTCAAATATTTTCTTCCTCAGTTTTGGAGAAGAGATTGAAAAGGACATTTATTAGTTTGTCTTTGAAGGTTTGGTAGAATTCATTAGTGAAGCCATCTGGTCCTTGGATTTTGTTGTTTAGAGATTTTTTATTACTGTTTTAATTTCCTTTGTAGATTGATTTTTAAAGAGTAAAATGTTTCAGTTCCTTTTTCACTAAAGACTTCCAGAAAACAGAAAAGAAGACTGATAATGGATGAATTAACAAGACAGGGATGAATTAACAAGACACTGATATTCTGTCAATTCATTTGACCCATTACATACAAATCTGTTAATTCTTTTTGTATATAATAATTTCCAGCTTGTATGATTACTGGGTGCTTAATTCTAAAACTTAAAAACTGATAGAAAAACTTACAAATATATTTTCAGTCCTATTCATTTCAAAATTAGAAATAAAAGTACTAATACTTTTCTAACTATAACTGTAAATCTGTAGGAAAAAAGTAGGCATATATATTTGCCACAGAGGCATGCGCAAAGATTTCCAAGAGTAAACACAAAGACATAAATACAGAAGAAAACAATTCATCAAAATTAAAACTTCAGTTTACTGTTTAAAAGATTTTAAAATAACTATCCATTGCTTATAGTTTAAAATGCAAATTTCTCTTCCATATTTATAGAGTAGTTTTTTGTGGAACAAGACCTGTGCTATTAGGTTTTGATTCATGTTTGCTTATTAAAACTAATGCATTAAATTTTAACATTTTATTTTTTATTTCAAGAGGTAAGGCATTCCATTCAAAACCTTAAAAAAAAAAAAAAAAGCTATACTCTGTAACTTCTCCCTCTTGCCCTTGCCCTAGCACCTAATTGCCCTTTCTTGGGGCAACCCATGTTACCAATTTCCAGTGTCTTATCCAAATAATTTCTAAGCAAATAAATATTAAGTCCTAATTTTAAATAAAAAATAGTAGACTCAAATCATTTTATACCTTAACATAAGGAATATTTTTGTATTTTATCATTGAAGAGAGTTGCTTTAAAGAGATACGCCGTAATTTAATTAACTAAGCATTTGTTTCTGTTTTTGTGTATATTAAGTACAGTACTAAATAACCTTGTGTATATATCATTTCTAACAATCCTCTGTTTATTCATTCAGTTACTCATTACTGTACTGAGTACCTGCTATGTAGCAGGCATACTGGGGTAGTGAACGAAACAAATTCATCTTTGCCCCTATGTAGCTTGCACAGTCATGTGTAGCTATAGGATAAATTCCTAGAAAGGAAATTTCTAGGTTTAAGGGTATGTATATCCGTAGATATTATGAGATTATCCTCCATGGCAACTTTCAATTTTAATAGAATTTAATGGGGTACGTTTTTGTTTTTTGCCTGATAAAGATTAAAAATTGACATTTAAATGTAATTGAATACTTTTTAAATAATTAAATTGTAGTTACAAATCTAGCATGACTTTTTTTTTCTTAAGATTTATTTATTTACGCATACAGAACTCGAGTATAGCCAGAGGTGCAGGGGTAGTCAGAGAATTCACCAGAGACAAAGTGGGGAACAGGACAGACCTACTGACGAAGTACACTGCTGAGGGTAGCAGTGGGTGAGTCAGGAGAGGTCTGCCATGCCATGTGTATCACCGCCGGGGCGGGGATCGAACTCATGCTGAAGTAGCTTCAGCTTCTTAGCGCTGTGCTTTAACCTGTTGCACCACCAGGGAGGGCCCTAGCATCACTCTTTTTTAATATTCCAATATTTTAATTAGTATTTAGAATATGTTCAAATTTAACTAATAAAAAACTTTCCACTAAAATAAAACTCACAGCCTATTCTTTTTTTTTAAAATAACGTACTAGTTTATTTTTATATCATTTTGTGTATTTTTTCATCTCTCACATCCTTTTCTTAAAAAAAAAAAAAAGTGATATTGAACTGTTAGGAAAATTGTATGAGACCCTAAAGGAAGGAAAACAAAACAAAACAAAACACCAGATCTTGTAAGGATTGGTTCTCCTTTCCTCCCCATCTTTCTCAGCACTCCAGACCTCATTACTTCTAGTGTCATTCAAAGCAGAACCATAAGATTTCTCATTATAGTTCTTTTTAATTTTTTTTTGAAATAATACTAGATTTTGCAATCTGGTTGTTTTGCAATCTGGTGCTTTTCCTCAAATAATGTGTTCTCTTATTCTCTAATCCTGTTCTGTCTAGACTGCTAACCATTAGCTGCATGTGGATATTTAAGGTAATTGAAATTAAATATAAAACTAAAAATTCAGTTTCTCAGTTGGAATAGCTACCATTAATGTACTCAGTAGTTATGTGTGACTGACCCTGTATTGTCACTGAAAGTTCTGGACAGTTCTGAGATGAGAGGCTGAGTTGTTTAGTTAGTTTTCCTCTTCAGGACATGAGGCTAGTTCATAATTTTGGATGTCATTCTTGAACCTATTTTCTACTCTGTGTTAAGTATTGTACCTTTTTCTGATTTGATTGACAATATTATTTCTTTTTGTTTTTGGTAAAATAACCTTCTTTTTCTGATACTGTGTCTTTTTATAGTTTCCTGCATTTATTTACCTTTCTTCTGTTTTACTGTGCAAATGTGTGTTTTGAAAAAAACACATACTTAGTGGAAAACAAGCCTATATTTGTTGATACTTTTCTACTTATTAAATCATTAAAAGATTAAAGAGGTATTTTCATCTTTCCTTTATATTATAGTTGTTCTTAGAACTATTAACTTTTCTTTTGGGTGATTAACAAATATATTAATGAGATACTGTTATAACCATTAGAGAGTTGATAAGTAAAACAATTCAATCCTCTTAGCATTTACATTCACTATGATTGATATATAGCCTTTCACAAACTTGCTGCTCTACTTATAAAATCTTTCTGACATTAAAGCAGCCCTAATCTGACCAGTGATAGTATATCAGTTTCTGTATCTGTTTAGCATTGTCATTACCCTTGAACTTTTGAAAATATCTCAACTTTTCCTCACTAACTGGCTATTTTGGGCTATTTTTTTTTTTCCTTAGATCTGGAACCGCCGTTCACTGAACAGCCCTGGTTCCTTTTGGCTTCTTCACACTGGGGTTTACCTGCAAATTGGTGGGAGGCCACTGTGCTCACCTTGCTGGTTGGCACCTCTTGTGGTGGCACTAGGAAGGGAGTCTCTTCTCAAATCAGGAGTTCACGTTAATGGTTCCCTCTTAATCATATACCTTTATTCTATATTTCATACAGTGAGATTTCACTGACAACTTACACACTGAACTATAGACTTGGTATTTGTATCTTTGTTCAGCAGATATTCGAAGGCCCTTGATTTGTCAGGCACTGCTTGTGAACTGCCTCTTAGCTTCCTCTTTGTCTTCCCTGGTGACCCTATCCATTCACTCAACATTTAACAAATCTGGACATTTTCATTTTCAAATCGCATCAGATAGTAAGTTCTTTGGATTTTTATCTCCTGTGTATCTTTTTAATCTTGACAACTCTCCCCAAGTCTTTTCATTTTTTCTAGCTGCAGTTTCTGTCTTTCCCCTTCTCCACTTCAATCTTTTTCTTGGTGTCAGTGTGACCCTTCTACATGAGATCTGACGTTTTTCTCCTCTCAAAATCCTTCAGTTAGTTTTCCCTTGATATAAAATGCAGCCCCCTCAGCATGTCATACTAGATGATGTTCCTTCTTGCCTGGGAGATCCTTTATGCAGTTTTTCTCATTTCTGCATCTATATGTCATATTTTCTATGTTTATAAGAACTTTTGTCTTTCAGCTTATTAGAATTTTAGTAAAAAACCTACTTCTCATAAGCTTATTTTTGATTTTCTTTCCCATTGTGTTGACTGGAGAGGCTCTTCTATTTTTAGTAAATTGCACTCTAGTTGTCATTTTGAACTTTATTTCCTAGACAGTTAAATTTTGCCATTCCCTCAATTACTCTGAATACCAGTAATCCCTCAGTTCTTTAGGGCCTTCAAGTCCATTGATGCTTCTCACACTCTTAGGTCCTAAAACTCTGGGGTTAGTTACTATAGACATTACTTTAAATATATTCTCTACTTACTTTTCTCAGGTCATCGTATCTTGTTTGGAAAATGTAGATTCAAAGCATTTTTTGCCTATTCTTACACCTAATTTGGCTAGAAGAAAAATTTCCTAGGAAACAGGCTCCTTTAAAGTGATGAGTATAAATTACAAGGGGGTTTGTAATATTACCGTACATTTGTCCTCCCCTCTTCTAGAGGACCATTTCATACTTTGCCCCCTTCCCAAATCTCCTACCCGATGGTTTCACCCTGTCCTGAGTTCCCTGCGTTTTACCTATATGAGAACCCACCTTGGATCAGTACTGCCTGTGGACTGTGGTCTCCTTTACCTCACATCAGCTGTCCATACTCACATGAAAAGCCCTGCATACACACCTGGTCTCACCCTTCACCACTTGCTTGTTTTGCTCCAGCAGCTCTCCCTTCACTTTTCTGTATCATCCATTTTCCTCTCACCACTGAAACATTCCTTAAACATACTTAACTGGGGCTCTCCCTGGTGGTGCAGTGGTTTAAAGCACAACACTAAGAAGCTAAAGCCATTGCAGCATGAGTTTGATCCCTAGCCCTGGAGATGATCCACATGGTGCAGCAGACCTCTCCTGACCCACCCACTGCTCCCCACTCTGTCTCTGGTGAATCCTCTCACCACCCCTGTACCGCAGTTCTGTATGAATAAATAAATCTTTAAAGAAAAAAAAAACATGTTGCTGTTACTTAAAGAGAAATCTCTTGTGACTCCAAACTTCCATGAACCCAGCACTGTTTCTTTGTGTCTTTGCAGTAGAACTGTGTCTTTGCATTAGAAAGTGTGGCCTGTATCACTGTCTACCAGATTTCACCTCTTGTTTTCTTCATGTGCCTCATTAGGCTTTGTCTACTGTTCTGAGGGTGCACCTGACAGTGCACCTATTGTGGTGGCCAGCCCTCCGGTAGGCCTTCTAGCCATATCTCTGTCCTCATGCTTCATCTGTCACTGTCAGTGGCACAGGGCTCCTCTTCACATGCTGTCTTGTTTGACTGTCCAGATAACTGCAATGGGTTTTCTTTTGATTCCTCTATCTCTTGCTTTTTATTCCTCTTTAAATTAACAGTGGTGTTCACACAACAGGTAGGAGGTTTGGTCCTCTGATCATCTCATCTGAGTTTAAAATTATGATTTACATGCTGTAGACTTCCAAAGTTAAATCTGTCTGGCCTAGATTGTTGTCTGTGTTTAGTGTGTGGGCTAGCTGCCAGACTTATACCTTCAACTAAATGTCTGATCTTCCTTCCGTAGCCATCCCCATTTTAGGTGTAGTTTCCCTCTGGGATGGTGGCTGTCCTGTACTTCCAGTGCTCAGACCAGAAGCATAGTCATTCTCTTCTTTCTCTTCTACTTCATGCTATTCATGCTATACAGAAGTCCTATAGGATTTGAGTTGTCATCTCTGTTAGTGTACTAGCCAGCTACCTGGCCTCTGCTTTCACCTTTGTTCCTTTGATTTCTTTTCCATGGGGCAGCCAGTGACCCTTCTGTATAAGAAAGTCCTATCATGCCCCCGCTCTGATTACATTTTTCAGTGGATCCACATTTTTATTTGGCTGAGAACCCCAGTCCTTACAGTGGCTTCGTGTTCACATATGATTTGGTGTTCCATTTCCTTTTTTATCTCATCTATTGCACCTTTCCGTTGCTCATTCTGCCACAGCTTCCTGACCTCACTGTTGTCTTGAAACTGTGCATGACCCTTCTTCCTGTGTGTGCTAGTACTTCTGCTCTTACCCTAGGAAGAGCCCTGATTCAGTTTCTTCCTTTACAGTTCAGTTCAGAGTTCTGTGAGAATTACCATATTGAATACTCTGTTTACCTTCCCTTCCCACACTGATTCTTCCCACCCACCCTGCTTCTTTTTCCATAGTCTCTGTTACTTCTAATGTATGCTCCCTGAGATCTTTGTTTTATTCATTGTGTTCCAAGGCCATTAGTATCTGATTGATGATAGCTGTTTTATAAATATTAATATCTAATGAATTTTTTGCAACTTTACTTTTAAAAAATATATTGTATAATTGACAAATATAATTGTATAACTTTAAAGTACACACAGTGATGATTTGATATTCTTGAATGTCGAATGATTACCAAGAGCAATAGAATTAAGTTTGTCACCTTATGTACATATCTTGTATACATGTATTAAGAAAGGTAAAGATTTAAATTCAGCATACTTCTGCAGTTTTGACTACAGTCACCATGATGTACCTAGATCCTCAGAAACCGTCTTCTTACAGCTAAACCTGAAACAGGAGAAATCTAGAACTGGATTGATCTGGCTGGTGGTTTCTTTCTGGTGCGTCAGTGATTGCCAGACATGACCTAAAAGCAGACTCACAGTATGAAGCAACAGTAACATGTATTTATGTAGGTGGCGAATTGCAGTGTGTTGGAGGGAATGTAGAGAGATGGAGAGAAAGAAGGAAGAGAAAGAGAGAAAGAATTTACAGACTGACATATAGCAAATGCTATCTGTCTTATCCCAGATAGTGTTTGCTGAACAGAAAGTAAGGCCCAAACCTTCATGGCAAACTGGGGCTTCTCTAGGATAACCTTTCTCACCAGTAATCTGCCAATTCCCAGCAGTAGCTTAACTGCCAATAATGCCACACCCCTATTTCCCATCATGTTCCCTGCTGAGGGGTTGGAGTTTGGAATGTTCTACCTTCTTTCATCTTTTTGACTGTGCATGCCACTCACTGGCTCTGAGGTTGACCATTTGGACCCTGGGACCATCACTCCATTCCCTCTTCTCCAGCCCCTGGCCACTACTGCTCTTTGTTTCTTTGAAGTCAACTCTTTTATTCCTTTCTAAGAGTTTACATATAAGTGATACTCTACAGTATTATACAACCTCCTTTTTATCCTGATTTCTGAAATGAATTCTGTTAATGGTATAGGATAAGATTTTAGTATCAACTTCTGTTCCCTTCCCTGAAAAACCTGATATTATTAAAACATGACTAAGTCTTCTTTTTTCTACATTCTATGTTAAACTGTTTTGTTGCTCTGTCTCATCTATTGCAATGTTTTCATTCTAGTAATTTTTCTTGTTTGGTTTTTGAGAGGCTTTGAAACAACAGATAACAGATTTACAGGAAGATTTGAAGAGAAAGGAAGCAAAATGGTCAAGTACACACGGCCGACTTAGAAGTCAGATAGAAATGTTGGTCAAAGAGAACACAGACCTTCGAGAAGAAATTAAAGTGATGGAGAGATTCCGACTAGATGCCTGGAAGAGAGCAGAAGCTACTGAGAGCAACACCAAGTTGGGTCAATGTTTGACTGCCGTGAAAAAAGATGGGTCCATGGTAGGTTTGCAGTCCAGCTGGTTTTGTCACATCAGGAGGAATTGTTAAATATTTGAGCAGATATAGAGAGTAGAGACAGAAAGTAGAAGGGTAGTTGCTTGTGTTCTAGGGATGGAATAATGAGGAATTGCTTGTTAATAGAATTTCTGTTTTGCAAGATAAAAAAAGTTGTGGAGATAGTGGTCATGGTTGTATGGCTGTGTAAATGTACTAATGCCACTGGACAATACCCTTAAAAAAGATTAAGGTGTTAATTTTTTTAAAAAAGATTTATATATTTATGGTTATAGAACTGGGGTACAGGCCAGAGATGTGGTGGGTGAGAGGGTTCACCAGAGACTGAATGGGTAGCAGCACAGGCAGATTGACAAAGTACACTGCTGAGGTCAGGAGAGGTCTGCCACTCCATGTGGGTCAGCTCCCTGGCTGGAAATCAAACCCCTGTTGCAGTGGCTTCGTAGAGCCTCATAATGTGGTGCTTTAACCTATTGTGCCACTAGGGAGAGCCCCACGGTGGTAATTTTTTTAAGAATGTTGCATTATAAAGTTATTTAAATTTCAGATGTACAAAACAACATTGGTGTAAACTACATTAAATGTACAGCTAAGTTTCCAATACTATCTTTAACTATACAGTAGATCCCTGTTACCTATATGCTTACCCCTCTTTTATTGGGCACAAAAAATTATTTCCATAATTTTGCTGTTGTAAGTAGTGCTACAATGAAAACAAAAAAGCATATATTCAAATTAGTGTTTTTGCATTCCTTGGGTAGATACCTAGGAATCGAGTTGTGGATAAAATGTTGGATCTACTGTTAATATTTTGAGGAATTTTACACTGCTTTCCATAGGGGGTGGACAAGTCTGTTCCCACCAACAGTATACAGAGGTTCCTTTTTTCTACATCCTCATCAACATTTCTAACATTTGTTATTTCTTCTCTTTTGGTTTATAGCCACTTTCATAGGTGATTCATTGTGATTTTGATTTGCATTTCCCTAACTATAAGAAATGTTTAATATGTGACTGTTGACCATTTGATTATCTTTTTTGGAGACTTGTCTCTTCATGTCCCTCTTCCTATTTTTTTTTTTTTTTTTTTTTTTTAAGATTGATAGGACATGAGAGAATGAGGCAAAGGTTCGGGGTGTAATAACTTTGTAGAGGAGTTTTGTAGTAAATTTAATAAGGAGGCAGTATCGTGATGGTAGGCAGAGTATTTTGTTTTTAAAATTAGAACAAGTGTTTTGTTTAGGGCTGATTCTGTAGAAGGGAAATATTGAGACATACAGTAAAATTCCTGAAGTACTCTACCTAAGGGAGAGGAGATGAGATTTAGGAATGAATAGAAGGGCTGATTTAGGCCCAGAGAATGGACAAGTTGTATGGGGTTGTAGAGGGCTGAGTTGTGGACCTAGGACTAGATGTATGTTAGAGGTGAGCTGGTAGGAAGTTCCTTTTTAATACTTAAACTTGGGGAGGCACAGTTACTAAGAGTAAGGATGGAAATGAAGTTTTAGGAGATGGGAGAAAGTGTGAAACAGTTGTCTAAAAAAGTGGAGCGCAAAGGAACTAAAGTGTAGTCTGATTCCTGGACAGCATGGGGCTCACTTAGGTTAGAAATTTTATATTTCAAGAGAGAATTGTTTGCAGTTTTTCTTTTGTTTAGCATTTTGGTTATAGGGTGGCAGAGTTACTTTTTAAAAGTGGGTGTGGTCAGTACAGGTGAAAGCCACAGGGTGAGAGAGGAGTACAGAGTATTTATAACAAGAGTGACTGCAGTGTATCATGAGTTTAATCTGTATAAGAGCAGATATGATGACAAGGCTTTGAGGGACAGAGGAAATATATATGGGTTGATGAATTGAAGGACTGTGTAGGTTATAGGCATTTTGGAGTTAGCAGTATTAGAGTAATGATTTGGAAGGATAGAATATGGTAGTTAGAAAGTAGAATTTTCCCATCTTTCCAAATATTTTACTGTAAAATCTTACTTGAGAAATTTGAAAGAATAATGTGATAAATACCACCTAGATTCAGTCAATGTTAATAGTATGTGTATTTTGCTGAACTATCTGATGGTAATCACAGAAGTCATCATATCTCACTCCTAAATACTTTCTGCATTTTATTAAGTGACAGTGGCTCTTTGAAGAAATCAAACTGTTTTTGTAGAATGCTCCACATCCTGAGTTGGAATGCTTTGAAATTGAAATTTTTGCAAATGTCAGTAATTGCAAAAATTGCAGATATTATTTGTCAAGTTCTACTAGACAAGTTCATCAATGACAGATTTTAGAGTTTGCCACTAAAGTGCATGGCTGAGGTAGGTTAGAGTACAAATTGGAATGAGAAGTAAGTAGGTCAAGAAATAAAGTGAGGCATTTGGATTATCATTTCTTGGCAAGGAGGGGTAAATGATGGGTGAATACACAGAAGTGAGACTCAGAGGTGGTTGGTAAAGGAAAAGACAGAAGGATTTAAGTGTGGGTAGTGATGGGGAGCAAAGAGGGCATCTTTCTTCCTGCTAAACCCAGGATTTAAACTTCGATGATGAACGTGAGTAGACTTTCAGCTTCAAAAGAGACATTGTTGAACAGTGGGGAGCTTGGACTCAGTGTAGTAGAGGAAGACCTTGAAGCAAATGTTCATACAAGAGATTAATGTAAAGGACTTTGATAAGAGTTCTTGTCCCTCTGGCTGATGAGGACGGTCACAGAAACTATTTTCTGTTATACCCTCACCTGAAGAGTAAAATATATTCCGAAAGAGATGGTCATGTGTAGTTTATTCCAATAATAGTTTATTAGTTTTGACATGTAAATAAATATATCAGTGTACAACAACTATTGTCATTACAGATTGAGTCCTGTTAGCTTCATTCATTGTAGCAGTATTTAGACTAACACTAACTTGATTTTCAAAATTATACTGTAGAATTCATCAGTTCGATTTCAAAAGAGTCAAGTTTCATCAGGAGCCCAGGCAGAAAAGTACAAGAAAAATTATTTGCCAGCTAAAGGTAAGAAGATGCATAGTCTTTTTATAGGAATATTTCAGGAATATAAGAACAGAAGACTTGCATTCAATTTAAGAAATAAGATGTCATAAATGTAATTGAGACTCCTATTTATATACCTCCTCCACTTAATTTCTACCCAAATAGCATTCTTATGCCTGCTTTCATTCTTTTTACTGTATTGTCAATATAGTAAATTAATATACCTGTTGCTTCATATTCTAATTTTTTTCTCTGAATATTTGAGATTTACTCATATTTAATACATGTAAACTTGTTTATTGATTGTGTACCTATCAGATTCCATGTATATTTGCCATAGTTAAAACTTGGCATTTAGGTCTGTCACAGGAATAAATAGGGCTGCAGATGATGTAGGAATTTTTTTAGAATACATATCAGGAGTAGGGTACAACTTCTAGAGGTTTGTGCAACTTCTAGAGGTCTCCCCTTTATTCTGCAAAGTGATTTTACCAGGTTTTTTTTTTTTTTTGACCATCAACAGAATGTGTTCTTTGTATTTGCCAATACTATTACATATTGTTATAACTTTAAAATTTTGGCCAATCAGATGGGGCAGTGTGTATTATATTTACTTATTTTTAAAATAGTGTTTTAAATATATTTGAGAGTTGATAAAATATAGTGTCTGGAGAATGCAGGTTCCATATCTGCTTGTTCTCTTGGCTCCAACACAGTGGCAGGGTCAATAGGTACTAAAGGTGAGATAGAGAGATGCATAGTGCCCTGGGAGTAGCACTGTGGCACTTAATTTGGAGGAAGGTCTTTCTCCAGCTATTGGCTATCCTGGGAGCCTGGGAGTCTGGCTGCCAGCTCATGAACAGTTTTAGGTGCTGACCAAAGGATTCTTCCTGCTGACCTAGCAACAACATGAATTGGTCTGTCCTGGACCCACTGCCTCCTGCCACATTTATGTACCAGCTATGTGAGGAATGGCTGGGCAGCACCTGACCTCCAACTGTGGATGAAGAAAGTCATGTCAATCTGTAGCCCCTGGTTACCAGCAGGCACATAGCCTTTAGCTGCCATCTTCATGAATAAGAGCTGTGGCATTCTTGTCCCTCCAACTGCCATATGCCAGCCATCAAATTAGCCTTCAGCCACCAACTGTGGGAACTGGACTGCCATTGGAAGACCAGTAACATTACTTGGGTCTGACTGGTTGCAGTTCATAGAGTCACAGATCTCAGAGTCATATATATAGGTAGCAATAGGATTGATAATCGCTTTTTTTCTTTGACTTCCCTCTGTGGGTCATGTGTTAATTCTGAATACCACTTTTTTCCCCCTTCTTACTTTTTTACAGCCTTCTTCATTTTGTGCATTCTTTTCATGTTGGTTGTAATTCCTGTGGACGTCCGTTCCACCACCAAATCACCCATGTGCCATCACCATAGTCCCGTGCGTTCTTCCCACCCCAGTTTTGATCCTATTCCCCTCTCTACCACTGTAAAATGTTTCTGGTTTAATAAAGTTAATTGGTTTTTGTTTTTACTTTATTACAATTGCTTCTTTTTTTTTTTTTTTTCTTTTCTGATCCCTTATGCTTCTGCTATGTGTGAAAACATCCGGTATTTTTCTTACTCTTTCTGGCATATTTCACTAAGCATTATCCCTTCCAGCTCCATCCTGTGGCTGCAAAAGCCATGAGTAATATTCTTTTGTGTATATGTACTTATCATCTTAATCCAGACATCATTTTTGGGCATTTGGGTTGATTCCTCATCTTCCCTGTTGTAAATAGGGCAGCAATGAACAAATGGGTGCAGGTGTCCTTTTGAATCAATGTTTTTGTGTCCTTTGGATAGATATCTAGGAGTGGGATTGCTGGGACACATGGAAGCTCCATTTTTAGCACTTTGAGAAATCTCCAAACAGCTTTCCATAATTGTTGGACCAATTTGTATTCCCACCAGCAATGCAGGAGAGTTCCTTTTTCTCCACATCCTTGCCAACATTTGTTGTTGCTAGTTTTTTAAATATGTGCTATTCTTACTGGTTAATGTGAGATGGTATCTCATTGTGGTTTTAATTTGCATTTCCCTTATTACAAGTGATGAACATTTTTTCATATGCCTGTTGGCTTGTCTGCATTTCCTCTTTAGAGAGGTGTCTTTTAGCTTTTCTGCCCATTTTTAGATGGGGTTGTTCACTTTTTTTAAAGATTTATTTATTTATTCATACAGAACTGGGGTACAGGCCAGAGATGCAGAGGGTGAGGAGATTCACCAGGGACAGAGTGGGGAGCAGAACAGGCAGATCGACGAAGTACACTGCTGAGGGGAGCAGCGGGTGGACCAGGAGAGGTCTGCCTTGCCATGTGGATCTCCTCTGGGGCAGGCAGGGATCGAACTCATGCGGAAGTGACTTAAGCTCCTTAGTGCTGTGCTTTTAACCCGCTGCACCACCAGAGAGGGCCCGTTCACTTTATTTTTGTTGAGTTTTGTCAACTCTTTGTATATCTTTTTGATTAGTTCTTTGTCATTAGTATTGTGTGTAAAAATTTTTTCTCAATCAATGGGGTTTTTGTTTTGTGTAGTGTCTTATTTGTTGTACAGAGCTCTTTTTTTTTTTTTTAAAGATTTATTTATTTATTCATATGGAACTGGGGTATAGGCTAGAGATGTGGAGGGTGAGAGAATTCACCAGAGACAGAGAAGCAGAACAGGCAGAGTGACGAAGTACACTGCTGAGGGGAGCAGCGGGCGGGTCAGGAGAGGTCTGCCTCGCCATGTGGATCTCCTCCCGGGCAGGTGGGAATCGAACTCATGTGGTAGTGGCTTTAGCTTCTTAGTGCTGTGCTTTAACCCGCTGCGCCACCAGGGAGGGCCCTGTACAGAGCTCTTTAACTTGATGTAGTCCCAGTTGTTTATCCTTTCCTTCCTTTCATTTTAGTCAGGAGAGTTTTGATTATTCAAAGTTTTGTGGTTCCATATAAATCTCATCAATATTTGACTATTTCTTTGAAGAATGTCATTGAGATTTTTATTAAATTTGTATATCACTTTTGGTAGGATGGCAATTTTAATGATGTTAATTCTTCTGATTCATGAATAGGGGATGTCTTTCTATTTCTTTGTGTCTTCTTGTATTTCTCTTAAAACTGTTCTCTCTATATATTTTTTTATAATAGATCTTTTACCTCTTTTGTTAGGCTTATTCTCAACAGTTTGATTTTTTTTTTGTATAGGCGATAGATTTTTTTTGATTTCCATTTCTTCTGATTGGCTGTTTGTTTATAGGATATATCTATACTACTGACTTGTGTGTTGATTTTATATCCTGCTACTTTACCAATTTACCAGTTGGTCAATTGTTTCGATTAGTTTTTCTCCGGAGTTTTAAAGGTTTTCCATGTAAATTATCATATCGTCTGCAAATAAAGATTTACTTCTTTCCCTATTTGGATTCCTTGTATGTCTTTGTCCTATCTTATTGTTCTGGCTAGGACTTCTAGAATTATGGTGAAGAGTAATGGTGATAATGGACATCCTTGTCTTGTTCGTGATCTTAAGGGAAAGACTTTCAGCTTTTCTCCATTGAGGACAATATTGACTGTGGGTTTGTCATACATGGCTTTTATCATGTTGGGGTATGTTCCTTCTATTCCGAGGATTTAGAGGGCCTTAACTATAAATGGAAGTTAAATTTGTCAAATGCCTTCTCTGCATCTGTTGATAGGATTGTATGTTTTTTTATTTTTTTGTTGGTTGATGTGCTAGATTATGTTTATTGACTTTTGGATGTTGAACCATCCTTGTGCCCCTGGAATAAAATCCACTTGGTTGTAGTGTATTATTATTTTAATGCATTGTTGGATTCTGTTGGCTAAGATTTTATTGAGGATTTTTACATCAGTGTTCTTTAGGGAGATTGGTCTGAAGATTTCTTTTTTGGTGTTGTCTTTGTTAGGTTTTGGTATTAGTATGATGGTGGCTTCGTAGAATGTATTTGGTAAAAAACTAAAAAATGTCTTCTTGCAGTATTCTCCCCTTAATCATAATGTAGTGGCCATCTGTACCTCTTTTGACCTTTTTTAGTTTTGAGAAAGAAAAAAATCTTTCTCGATTTTTTTTTTTTGAATGAGTTTGGTAAAGTCATTTGTAAATCCATCTGGTCCTGGGCTTTTATTCTTGAGGAGGGTTTTAATTACTGCTTCAATCTCACTGCTTGAAGTTGGCCTGCTTAGTTTTTCTATTTCTTGTTTATCTAGCTTTGGATGATTGTAGAGTTGTAGGAATTTGTCCATCTCTTCCATTTATGATCCTGTTTATTTGTGCTTTCTCCAGTTTGTTTTTTTTTGACGTTTTCAAAGAACCAACTTTTGGTTTCATTGATTTTGTTTTTGGATTGTTTTTCTAACTTCTGTTTATTTCTGCTTTGACTTTTACTATTTCCTGTCTTCTACTGGCTTTTGGGTGTTTTTGTTCTTTTTCCAGTTCCTTAAGGGAGGAGATTAGATTGTTTCTTTGAATTGTTTCTTGTTTCTTTATGTGAGTCTGTATTGCTATATATTTTCCTCTCAGAAGCGCTTTTAATATGTCCCATAAGTTTTGGAGAGTTGTGTCCTCGTTGTCATTCTTCTCAAGGTATTCTTTAAATTTCTTCCTTGATCTCCTTATTGATGCAATGGTCCTCCAGTAGTGTGGGTTTCAGTCTTCATGAGGTAGATGGGTTTTTTGCCTTCTTCACATGGTTTATTTCTAGTTTTATTCCTACATGGTCAGAGAAGATAGTTGGTATGGTTTAAATTTAGTGTATCTCTTGATATTTGACTTGTGTCTCAGTATGTGGTCAATCCTTGAGAATGATCCATGTGGATTTGAGAAGAATGTGTACTCGGATTTTTTTTAGGTGCAGTGTTCTGTAGATGTCTTTTAGACCCATCAGGTCTAGGTCTTTGTTTAGAGCTTTAGTGTCCTTGCTTGTTTTTTGTTTTGTTGATCTGTCCGTTGTTGAAAGTGGTAAATTGAAGTCTCTTA